CTCCGGTTCAAAACAGTAGGTGAACTCTCCCGTTCTTTTAAGATGCAGCCTGGAATCTAGGGATCTGCCCAATTTAGTTTAACCGGATTAGATTAACATCTCCTCCATAAGAAACTGCCTGAAGCAGCCCATCAGCATTCAACTGCGGCTCCAATGTAGATGGCGGGCTGATAGCTCAGAATGGGATTTGAACCCGCAATGTCCAGATTCTGAGACATTGGGCTAATTCTAGTGAAATTCCAAGAGCTGGAGATGAGACAGACAAGGGAAATTTGTTAAGCAGGAGAGGAAATGCCATGTTCTGTTAGCAGGATGCAGGTCAATGGAGGACTGAAACAGGATTCTAAGTATCATAGAATATGGTTCTGAGGAAGGGTCACCGGACCCGAAACGTTAACTCTGTTTTCTCCTCCACAGATGCTGCCAGACCTGCTGAGCTTTTCCAGCAACTTTGTTTTTGTTCCTGATGTACAGCATCCGCAGTTCTTTATCATAGAATCCCTACCGTGTGGAAACAGGCCATTCGGCCCAAGAGGTCCACACCAACTCTCCGAAGAGCTTCCCACCCAGACTTACCCCTGCTACCCTATCCCTGTAATCCCGCATTTCCCATGGCCAATCCACCTAACCTGTACATCCCTGGACACTACAGGGCAATTTAGCACAGCCAATCCACCTAAACTGCACATCTTTGGACTGTGGGAGGAAACCAGAGCACCCAGAAGAAACCCAACCAGACACGGGGAGAACATGCAAACTCCACACAGATGGGCACCCCAGGCTGGAACTGAACCCAGGTCCATGGTGCTGTGAGGCAGCAATGCTAACCACTGAGCCACCGTGCTGACCTATAGCATATCGTGCCTATTAGTTAAAACACACGGTCACCAGATTAAATTGTATCTTTACAATGAAGTCAGCAGTACACGAGAAACAAGTGCCTTCAGATCCCGGACTGGTTAAAAGTGGCATGTTGCAAATACGGTAGTCTTCCTGCTGGATTTGGAGTGAGAAGGAGCTGGCTTTCCCATGATGGGGAACTTTGTTGGATCAGGGGAGAGGGGATGAAGTCATTGCATTGTGCTTGCTCAGCATCTGTACAGGGAGCTTATGACCTACCTGTTCGAGGGAGGGAGGGAGGTCGGGAGGTCAAGTTATGGTGGACAGAGAGAAGGAGCTGGATACCAAAGGGAAGATCAATCTCTGTTGAAGGAGGTGTGAGCTCAATGGACAGACATGGAAGGTGATTGACAGCAGGTCAATGGTGAGACTGGGAGAGTCAACAGTATTTGAGGGTTGGATGAGGGTGATAGAGCAATGGTTGAGGATGACCATTGATGCCTGGGGTGGGGGGGCGATGGCCTAGTGGTATTATCGCTGGACTGTTAACCCAGAGACTCAGATAATGTTCTGGGGACCTGGGTTTGAATCCAACTATGGCAGATGGTGGAATTTGAATTCTATAAAATATCTGGAATTAATGAGTCTAATGATGAACGTAAATCCATTGTTGATTGTCGGAAAAATCCATCTAATTCACTAATGCCCTTCAGGGAAAGAAACTGCCATCCTTACCTGGTGTGGCCTACATGTGACTCCAGACCCATAGCAATGTGGTTAACTCTTAACTGCCCTCTGGGCAATTAGGGATGGGCAATAAATGCTGCCTAGCCAGAGACACCCTCATCACGTGAATAAATAAATAAAAACAAAGGTTAGGATTGACAGAGGGTAGGACAATGGCAGCAGGGTACAATCCAATGGTGATGATGGGGATAACTCTAGATTATCAGACAGTCGAACAAGGGTGATGGTGGCTGGCCTGAGGGTCACAGAAAGTCGAGCGAGGGTTGTACAGGATAGAGGGAAGGTGAAAGGTGATGACCTGCATCTCCAGGGATTCAACAGTGCCAGATAGGGAAAGTTCAACATGCTCCTGTCAAACAGGCAGAATGGCGCTTACATTACGGTTAGGAACAGCTTCCACATTAACGTGCTGGCCATGGGGTAATGGCAACTTTGGCCAGGCTCTTCAACAGTAAGTAATTAAACGTTTGATTGCATGGGGTCAGGTGTCCCAGACCCAGGTGGAAACTCTGGTCATTTCCAGTTCCCCCCATCAGGGAGCGCACATAACTCCAACACACTTCCATCTACAAGTCCTGCCAGGCTAACACCATTGGCTCTGAATCAGCAGGGAAGCCAGGGTTTTTAGTGGTCATCATTTCAAATTTGCACATCGTTTTTCACACTGAACAGAACAGTCGAGTCAAGTCTCAACGTGAAGATTTCTGACTGCATAAAACGGTAAAATAAATGATGCTTCTGACCATCAGAACTCTACTGAAACAATCCTGGTCGAATTCTCAATTCTAAGATTGTTGGAGATTGGCTGCTCCTCATCATAGAATCATAGTCATACAGCACGGAAACAGGCCCTTCGGTCCAACAAGTCCATGCCGAACACAATTCCAAACTAAACTAGTCCCGCTACCTACTCCTGACCCATATCCTTCCAAACCTTTCCTATTCATGTACTTATCCAAATATCTTTTAAATATTATAATTGTACCCACATCCACAACTTCCTCAGGAAACTTTAATATATCTTTATAGCTTTGTCTTTACGCCATATCACTGACACAGATCCAGAAGTAGCCTGCAGATCCCTCCTGTATCCTCCAAGCATGCCATTCAATTTGTGCTTGGATACAGAGCAGTGGATAGATTGGACATGTTGAGTACTTACATCACTGTCCATCTCTGGGTACCTCCGGCCTTTACTTTTCCCCAGGCACTTTGATTTATTGCCATCCAGCAGCTGACACCAGAAGCCTTTCTTCAGATCAAATCTGAAATTCAGAGAAAAATGAGTGTCAAATTATTTATTTTGTTCACTCTCAATGTATGGACATTGCTACCGACTTTTAACGTTTAGTGGCCTTACCCTGTTGCCATGTCAACAGAGAGGCTTATGTTTTTACATTGAACCAGGGCAGTCCTTGGGATGCAGGTAGAGCTGTTAGGTAGACTTCCAGAATTTTGACCCAGCAACAGTTAAAAAAAAAGGCGATACATTTCCAAGTCAGGATGGCGAGTGGCTTGGAGGGGAACTTGTAGGGGTTGGTATTCCCATGTATCTACAGCTCCATGTCCCTCCACATGGTAGCAGTCAAGCGTTTGGAAGATGCTATTGAAGGAATCTTGGTGAATTGTTGGAGCGTCTCTTGAGGCTAGTACACACTGCTTTCACTGTGCATAGGTAATGGAAGGACTGAATGCTGGTGGATCTAATACCAATCAAGTGGGCTGCTTTGTTCCAATCTGACATGTTAGCTAACTGTCACAGATACCACAGCATTAGAATGTTTTCCTTGATTCTTGTTTTGTTGAATTGTACTGTGAAAAAGTGACCTATTTCCTCACAGCTGCTCCTGAAATACACTATTCCCATGATTTAACCTTGGGAACAGTACAATTTTCTAGTTTTATTTCATGTTGGATAATGTTTGCAGATAATATGAAGATTGACCAAAAGGGGGAGGTATTGTTCAGTATATACATGATCATAATGATGTGAGAATCGGTTCATAATCCATCACAGTTTGCACATACAGTGGGCTTCCAACCTGGTAAAATTCCTAAAGGTGTTTCTCAAGGTCAGTGTGAGTAAAGTGTGATTTCTCTCCTTCAAGTCTGGTCTTATGGTCAACACCCCTTCCTCAAAAGCCTTCCTTGACCTGAGGGAGACTCTGCCCCATCTCCCTTTTCTCTGCAAAGGCCTTGAATGTCCTCTGCTGCTATCTAGCTGCGTGAGACTGTTGTCAACTAGAGTCATGGAGTCTTACAGCACAGAGGCAGGCCCTTCGGCCCAAGCTGGCCAAAATGTCCATCCATGCTAACCACATTTCTCTGCACTTGGCTAATATCCTTTCCTATCCATAGGAGCTAGTTCTAGATATTTTTGATTCACCTGTTCAGAGATGCTATGTCACACCCTGGGAGCAGGGGGACTTGAACCTGTGCCTCCTGACTCAGGAGGCAGGGACAGTACCACTGGACCACAAGAGCTCTCATAGTTGACTCCCTTCGCTTTTGTTTGTATAGGCAAAAGTGCTCTTACAACCAACTAAATGTTTAATTTCTCATCATCCTTGATACTTTTTCCTCCTTCTACTAACCCCCACCAGTAAATCACTCATATTTTCCAACAGATTAATCTACATGCAAAGCCCAACCAAACCACCAAAGATTGCAGTTGATTCCAGGATCTTGTTTGAAAGTTGAGTGAATGACTTTTGAAGCACCCCTTCTGAGAGATGATTCTGCTGTGTTTAATTGTTGTTGTAAGTGAATTGAACAAACAGAAGCCAGAACAGCATCCTGACAAGGACTTGAACCCTAGATCCTTGGAATGAAAGCCTGATGTGCTACCAACTGAGCTATCCAGGCTCCCTCTCTGTTGTTTCCATGCTCAGCTATTTAATCCCAGTCAGTTGCACAGTGTAGGCGATGTGTGTACTGCACTCTCCCCAAACCTTTCAACACCTTTAGTTTCTAGAATTTCTTTCTTGGATATATTCAGTGGCCTGGCCTCCACATTCTTTTGTGGTAGAGAATTCCACTGGCTCACTACACTCTGAGTGAAAAAAACATTCTCCTCATCTCAATCCAAAATGGCCTACCATCTACCCTGAGACCATGAGTGCTCTCTTGGACCTCCAACGCTCCCCACCCCAGCTAGGGAAAACGTCTTCCCTGCATCCAAACTGATCACCCTGACAGAATTTTATATGTTTCAGTCACATCCCCTTTCATCATTCTATACTCCAGTGAATACATTGACTTCCCAACTTTCTGTAATCCTTCTGGTAAGATGCCCCCTCACCCCTCTCCAATGCACTGGGGAGTGGGGGGTGAAAGGTGAGGTGAATACTAAGGTCTGAGTGATTACTAAATAAAAACCGCAAGAACTGCGGACGCTGTAAATCAGGAACAAAAACCGAAGTTGCTGGAAAAGCTCAGCAGGTCTGGCAACGTCGTTATCAACTCCTTTGTCTGTCCAACTGCTCTTCTCTCTCTTCGGGCTCTATCCTATCGTTTACTCCCTACCCCACCCTCCCCTCCCTATTTTCTGCATATAAACTGACGTTTTCCCAGCTACCATCAGTTCTGAGGAAGGGTCACCGGACCTGAAACGTTAACTCTGATTTTTTTCTTCACAGATGCTGCCAGACCTGCTGAACTTTTCCAACAACTTCTGTTTTTGTTGAGAGTGGTGACTCTCAGCTGAGAACCGTTCAGACATTACTCACATCAGCAGCTTGTGATAATCAGCAATGTTTCGAAGGCCCAGGAACTTCTGCACCTTTTCCATTGTTGCAGCGGGCTCTGTTCGGAGTAGTTGTCCATCGAGAACGAGAATCTGAAGAGGAAGGGAGAATTGTGTCACTGGAAGGCTCGCCAACAAGCCACAGAGGATGGCACTCCAAGAGACCTTAACGTTTCTTTTTGACAAAAGAAATCGAGAAGTTGTGGGTGGCCAGTGGGGGGGAGTTGTGTGTGGAATGATCTCCCAACCTAGGTGTGTTTTACCCCTTCAGTAACCCAAACATGTCACTAAAGGCACAGACAAGGCTGTTTTAGGTAATTAGCTGCAAAAGAAAGAGTGAATTTATCTCATGCATTTGTCACCCTGAAATGAATTGGAGAAGCTTCTTTTTAAAACAAGGAGCTGTCAAACAGTAGTTTGACACAAAAGAAAGGCAGTTTTCGCAGGGGTCTGTAGTAGTTTGAGAGTAACAATGTTATCTAGTGCACGTCATGAGTCATAATAGTTCAGAGGGAGGCTTTTTCGCTCATTTTGGCTCAAAGTCATTCACAGGACGAGAGCGTCGCTGGCTCAGCAGCATTTGTCACCCGTCCCTAATTGCCCACAGGGCATTTAAGAGTCAACCATATTGCCGTGGATCTGGAGTCACATGTAGACCAGACCAGGTGAGAGTGGCAGCTTCCTTCCCTAAAGGGCATTAGTGAGCCAGATGGGTTTTTTTCCCCAACAGTCATCGTAAGACTCTGAATTCCAGATTTTTATTTTGAATTCAAATTCCACCATCTGCCGTGGCAGGATTCGAACGCAGGTCCCCAGGACATTAGCTGAGTTTCTGGATTAATATTCCAGGGATAATACCACTAGGCCCATTGCCACCTCGAGGTCATACCCATCCTGTCATAACACTGTGTAGAGCCATTCAATTAGTCCCATCCCTTCAGTCCATCCCTGTAACCTTGCAAGTTTATTTCCTCCAAGAGCTCATTCAAGTTGCTTTTGAAATCATTGTCCATCTCTATTTCTTCCACCCTCAAACGCAGTGTGTTCTAGGTGATTGTCACTCACTGCGTAAATAGGTTCTTTCTCTCATTACCCTTGCGTCTTTATCTAAAACTTTAAATCTATCTCCCCTAATTGTTTATTCATTTATTTATTGTCACGTGTATTTTGTTACAAAATACAGTCAAAAAGTATTGAACAGTGTCGCCACTCTCTGGCACCATCTTAAAACACAGAAAAATAAATCAAAACACAGAATATAAAGGCAGAAAATTTAAAAGAAAGTTTTTATAAACTATAAAATAAAATTATAAAATAAAAATTTTTGAACTGTCAGCTAATAGGAAAATGTCTTTCTTTGTCTGCCCTCTCTGAACAGGTCATTATCATGTACACCTCTATCAAAACACCTCAGAAACCTCTTTTGCTCCAAGGAGAACAACCCCAGCTTCTCTGACTTAATGACTCCAAATGAAGAATGAAAGTAACCTCCCTCAGGTTTGGAAATATTTTGATAAATCTCCTTTACGCCATCTAAAAACCCTCACATCCTTCTTAAAGTGCAGTGACCCAAACAGGATGACAGTACTCTAGTTGCAGCTTGACCAGACGTTTACAAAGATTCCTAACAATATTCTAACTTTTGGACTCAAAAATGTATAAATATTATCTCTGTTAACAGTGAAAAATTAGAGGGTACAATCTGCTGAATGTTTACAATTTATTATTATTATTGAGGATCCCAAAAGTAGAAGAAAATGGGTTTTTAGTTCTCTCTCCTCATAAAATCCCTACAGTGCAGAAGCAGGCCATTTGGCCCATACTGACTCTCTGAAGAGTATCCTACCTAGACCCACCCCCTCCCTGTAACCTTGCATTTACTCGGCTAATCCACCGAGCCTGCACATCCCTGGACAAGTTAGCATGGCCAGTCCACCGTAACCTGCACATCTTTGGACTGTGGAGGACACTGGAATGTCCAGAGGGTACCCACGCGGAACTCCACACAGACAGTCACCTGTGGGTGGAATTGAACCTGGGTTCTGGTGCTGTAAGGCAGCACTGCTGACCACTGAGCCACCAGGCTGCCCCAAAATGACCTTTTTTAAAAAGGCCAGAAAGTCATTTCTAATCATCAATGCAAAACAGCATTTCCCATGAAGTATGTAACCTAAGGTAAATGATTAGATAAGCTAGCTGATTAGATAACTTCTGAAGTGTTAATATCTCAATACCTACTGATGGAAACATCAGGAGCCACAAGTAAATTTCAGTCCTGAAGAAGGAAATGATTCACTATCAGCAGAAGGACAGTTTAATTTTGACAATCTCATACATCCAAACAAGGATCTGGAAGAGGCCATTCAGCCCCTCAAGCCTGTTCTGCTATTTATAAGTTTATGGCTGGTCTTATTTGCGATTAGTTCACAAACCCACATTCCTACTTAGCCCCTGATAACCCTTCACTCCCGCGCTCCACAAGAAAATAATCCACCTCAGCCTTAAAAATATTCAAGGATGCTGCTTTCATCACCTTTTTGAGGAAGAGACTTCAAAAGACTCATGACCCTCTATGAGAGAACAAAAGATGCCTCTCTTCTTTTAAATGGGTGAGCCTTTACCTTTAAGCAGTGACCCCTGGTTGTAGATTCTCTCATAAGTGGAAACTTCCTTTTCACAGTTACTCTGTCAAAACCCTTCCACACCTTGTATGCTTCAATCAAGGATAACAAGGTGTAGAGCTGGATGAACACAGCAGGCCAAGCAGCCTCAGAGGAGCAGGAAAGCTAACGTTTTGGGTCTGTACCCTTCTTCAGAAAAACTTCAATCTTGTTTCTTCTTATTCTCCGAGACTCCAATCTTTCCCAGGTCTGGAGAAGGGTCACTGGACCCGAAACATTAATTCTGCTTTCTCTCCACAGATACTGACAGACCTGCTGAGTTTTCCAGCAATTATTGTAGTTGTTTCAGATTTCCTGCAATTCTGTTTTTTCTTGTTCTATCTTTCCTTATAAGACAACTCATCCATTCTGTTATCAGACTGGTAAATCTTCTCTAAACTTATTCTAATGCATTTATATCCTTCCCAAAAAAGTAGACCAATCCTGTACGCAGTACTCCAGATATGGTCTCACCAACATTCTATATATCTGAAGTTTACCCAACCCTACTTCTGTACTCAATTTCTGACACAATAAATTATAATTTAGATCCATTAGCTTTCTTAATGACTCACTGTATCTGTCAACTATTCTTTTGTGATTCATGCACTTATAGTGTTCTGTTTTGAATTTCTTGCCATTTAGATAATATGCTTTTTAAAAAATTCTTCCTACCAGAATGGTCAATTTTACATTATATATACTATACTACACTATACTCCATTATTGCCTACTCACTTAAACTATGAATAATCTTTTTGCAGCCTCCATATGCCCTCTTCACAACTTACGTTCCTGCCTATCAGCGTTTCATCAGCAAATTTTGGCAACCATACCTCCCATTCCTTCATCAGAGCTGGAAAGAAGTTGTAAACTGTTTCAGCAATCAGAGTAAACAGGGCTAGAAAAAGCCCTGAGCTTTTCATAGAATTCAGTGAAGAAAGGTCAGTGACTTAGCCTGTATGTGCATCTCTGCGAGAGGCAGAGAGAATTACATCTGGCAAATGTGCAGAAAATTGCTGAAAGGAATCACTTGCAACTTCAATCGGCCTGTAAGACATTTTCTTGTGAAGGATGGCACTCACATAAAGGATGTTGCTAAGAAAAAAGAGCCTTTTTTTGGTTGGTTGTGGTAAGATCTTTACAAATGATTTTAATATGTACATAGGTTAGCTTTTTGTTTATAAAATAAACTTGTCTTCTTTGTTAAAACTATCTTTGCAATCTTGTGTGAATGTGTTAGTGACTGATTACCACAGTAACCAAACTTTAAAAATAAAACATCTGATCTACCAGGCCAGGTTTCACACTGGGATCTGATTTGTTCAGTATCACCATTAGCTGGGATAGTAATAACAAGAGGATGAAAAACTCTTTGAGATAGCAGGAAGTGAGATTGGAGTCTGGATACTACTAACAGCGTGTCAGAATGAAGAGCCCAAAAGCAGAATAAGGAGATAATCATCTTCATTCAGGGAGATGTAGCAGTAAGTACAATGTGTAGGTCACAATACAGCTCAGAATGATGAGCCTATGTCAGTTCTGGAAACGTTGTTAACTACACCATGTGAGCATTTTTAATTAAACATCCTGTGTAATACAGCTAATATATTAGCTGAAATAAAAACAGAATGTGTTGGGAGAAACCCAGCACTCTAGCAACATCTGTGGAGAGAGAAACAGCATTTAACATTTCAATTCCTGTATGGCTTTTCTTCAGATGCTGTTTCTTTCTCCACAGATGTTGCCAGACAAGTTGAGTTTCCTCAGCACTCTTTTTATTTTACATTTCCAGCATGTGCAGTATGTTGCTTTCACGAACTTGTTAGCTAGCTAGCAAGTCTAATTCTCAAGGCATCTTCTGAATTAATATCGCTCTCAATTGCAATCTGTAAATTTACAATCAGCAGCTTAATGCTGAATTATTGCAACCGTGATCAAATGGCACAGTTATGGGGTTAATAAACAATTGCCAATTCAAAACTTGATTTTCTGCTTTTCAGGCAAGAAAAATTTAATTGATTCCATGATTAGCTTGTGTGTCCCCACATGTAAGGTAAATGAAACGAACACTTAATACAGTGTGAGCTGGTTGATGGAAGAGAGTCCGCAGGCCATATTTATGGCATCATTAACGGAAAGGCAGAGACTTGTTGTTAATCCCAGATGGTCCTTTGACAAAGTGTCGAAATGAGGGGTTAAGGATTTGCTGGTGGTCTTGATAAAGATTCTTTGCCAGCTTTGCTGATTCCAGTGCTCTGGAAGCTGGTCCTTTGAACCTAATCCAATTTTTATGGCTGTACCTTTACTGCATTCTCCCCGGCAGAAGAGGAACAAAAATACGTTTAAATTTTTAACTTTCTAATCAGATCAGTAAGAAATTGGGAAGGTTGTTAAAAATTAATATGGGATCTGTGACTTTAAAGCAAGCGAGCTGTGCTTTATAATCCCACTGGTTGGGCCTCAATCAGAAAATCTTATCCAATTTTGCGCACCACACTTATCGTGGAATGGCAAGGCTTTGGAGAGGAGGTGGAAGAGATTTACTGACAGGGATGATCAAGGCAGGGCAATTACATTGATGACAACAAGGTGCAGGGCTGGTTGAACACAGCAGGCCAAGCAGCATCATCTGATGAAGGGTCTAGGCCTGAAACATCAGCCTCTCTGCTCCTATGATGCTGCTTGGCCTGCTGTGTTCATCCAGCCCTGCACCTTGTTGTCTTGGATTCTCCAGCATCTGCAGTTCCTACTATCTCTGATTCAATTACATTGATGGTCTGGAGAAGCGAAGGTTATTCTCAAAGCATAGAAGGTGAAAGGGGGATTTAATTGAGGTACACAAAATTATGAAGGGTTTTATATGGCACCTAAGGTGAGATTTTCAAGTAGGAAAAGGTTTGGTGGTATGAAGACAGTGTCTGCTTAGATTTTGCATTTTTAAAACTGTGGATTGAAAAGTGAAGGAACTTTGAATCTCGGGGGTTTGCAAGAATAGTTGCATGTTTTGAAAGTTAGAAACTTGATATCTTTTGTGAGCCCTATTTGTGTTCCTGTGACTTCTAGCAACGTGCAGAACGGAGATAAGGAGAAACTTCTTCAGCCAGAGAGAGGTGAATCTATGGAATTCACTGCCACAGAAGGCTGTGGAGGCCGGGTCATTGAGTACATTTAAGACGGAGATAGATGAGTTCTTGATGGTCAAGGGATCAAGGGTTACGGGGAGAAAGTGGGAGAATGGGGTTGAGAAACTAATCAGCCATGATTGAATGGCAGAGTGGACCTGATGGGCTGAATGGCCTAATTTCTGCTCCTATATCTTATGGTCTTATGGCCTTATGACAAGCTGATTGGTTTCAGGACTTAGGGACCAGCTATTAATGATAAAGATCATCTGCCTGCCAACAACTATATGATTGGTTGTCGGGTAGCTGGACAGTTTGGGTTGTGTGCAAGACAAAGAGACACTTGTCGGACCAGTTGAAAAGCCAGCAGGTCTGCAGCAGCCCAAAATAACTCCCTCTCTCTCAGTTCTCTGCAGTAAGCCACTTTAAACATGAAGAAACCAGCCTAGCTTTCCTTCAGCAGATGTTGAAAGTTGAGACTTTGAATTGGATAAGTCAGAGACCTTTCATCAGTGAACTAGCCACCCTGTGCCTCTTGCAAACCAGTGGAATCATTCAAAAGAAGGAAGGTTGAGGAGAAACTGGATTAGCAAGAACCAAGCCAACAGATCCTGTAATCAAAGACTATGGGACTATTTTCCCAGTTTTCCCTCCACTCATGCATTTTTCCCCCTGTTTATGGTTGGCTATGTATAAGGTGAGTTGTTTAAAAAGGGGTTGGTTAGTTCAGTTGGCTGGATGGCTGGTTTGCGATGCAGGGTGATGCCAATAGTATGGGTTCAATTTCTGCACTGGCTGAGATTACCATTGAAGGAATCTCCTTCTCAACCTCTCCCCTTACCTAAGGTGTGGTGACCCTCAGATTAAACCACCAGCAGCTGTCTCTCTCTCTCTAATGAGAGACCAGCCCTATGGATTGCTAGTATATTCATGGCTTTACCTTTAAGGGCAGTTCATTGGGGTTGACAGTCTTAATTTGTAGAGTTTCCTAAATCTAATTTAATTGTTTATCTGCTGTTAGAATATAACTACCTGTGATAAATAGTATTTCTGATTAAGTACAGAATTAAGATGGAAACAAGGAGGGCAGAAAGGAGACGCGAGATAACCTTGGCATATTAGGTGCAGGAGAATCCAAAGAGATTCTACAAGTACATTCAAGGCAAAAGAGCAGCTATGGGGAGAATAGGGCTCCTTAAGGATCAACGAGGTTGGCTATCTGTGGTACCACAGGAGATGGGAGAGATACTAAACGAATATTTCACGTCAGTATTTACTGTAGAGAAAGACACGAAAGTTGGGAATGTGGGGAAATAAATACTGATGTCTTGAAAGCAGTCCACGTTACGCAAGAGGAGGTGCTGGAGGTCTTAAACAGCATAAAGGCAGATTAACCTCTGGGACCTGATCAAGTGTGGAGGTGCTGGAGGTCTTAAACAGCATAAAGGCAGATTAACCTCTGGGACCTGATCAAGTGTATCCCAGGACATTGTGGGAAGCTAAGGAAGAAATTGGGAAGCCGCCAGCAGAGATATTTGTATCGACCACCACCCAGCAGGACTGGAGGGTGGCTCATGTTGTGCCTTTATTTAAGAAAGGCTGTAAGGAGAAGCCTGGGAATTAAAGAGTAAGTTCCTGGTCAGGGATTCAAATTTTTTGAGAGTTACAAGTTAGCCAGGAAGGACCTAAAGAGAGAGCTAAGAAGAGCCAGGAGGGGACATGAGAAGTCTTTAGCAGGTAGGATCAAGGAAAACCCTAAAGCTTTCTATAGGTATGTCAGGAATAAAAGAATGACTAGAGTAAGATTAGGGCCAGTCAAGGACAGTAGTGGGAAGTTGTGCGTGGAGTCCGAAGAGATAGGAGAGGTGCTAAATGAATATTTTTCGTCAGTATTCAGGCAGGAAAAAGACAATGTAGTCGAGGAGAATACTGAGGTACAGGCTATTAGACTAGACGGGATTGAGGTTCATAAGGAGGAGGTGTTAGCAATTCTGAAAGGTGTGAAAATAGATAAGTCCCCTGGGCCGGATGGGATTTATCCTAGGATTCTCTGGGAAGCTAGGGAGGAGATTGCAGAGCCTTTGGCTTTGATCTTTATGTCGTCATTGTCTTCAGGAATAGTGCCAGAAGACTGGAGACTAGCAAATGTTGTCCCCTTGTTCAAGAAGGGGAGTAGAGACAACCCTGGTAATTATAGACCAGTGAGCCTTACTTCGGTTGTGGGTAAAGTGTTGGAAAGGATTATAAGAGATAGGATTTATAATCATCTGGAAAGGAATAATTTGATTAGGGATAGTCAACACGGTTTTGTGAAGGGTAGGTCGTGCCTCACAAACCTTATTGAGTTCTTCGAGAAGGTGACCAAACAGGTGGATGAGGGTAAAGCGGTTGATGTGGTGTATATGGATTTCAGTAAAGTGTTTGATAAGGTTCCCCATGGTAGGCTATTGCAGAAAATACGGAGGCATGGGATTGAGGGTGATTTAGCGGTTTGGATCAGAAATTGGCTAGCTGTAAGAAGACAGAGGGTGGTGGTTGATGGGAAATGTTCATCCTGGAGTTCAGTTACTAGTGGTGTACCTCAAGGATCTGTTTTGGGGCCACTGCTGTTTGTCATTTTTATAAATGACCTGGATGAGGGCGTAGAAGGATGGGTTAGTAAATTTGCGGATGACACCAAAGTTGGTGGAGTTGTGGATAGTGCGGAAGGATGTTGCAGGTTACAGAGGGACATAGATAAGCTGCAGAGCTGGGCTGAGAGGTGGCAAATGGAGTTTAATGCGGAAAAGTGTGAGGTGATTCACTTTGGAAGGAGTAACAGGAATACAGAGTACTGGGCTAATGGTAAGATTCTTGGTAGTGTGGATGAGCAGAAAGATCTCGGTGTCCATGTGCATAGATCACTGAAAGTTGCCACCCAGGTTGATAGCGTTGTTAAGAAGGTGTACAGTATGTTAGGTTTTATTGGTAGAGGGACTGAGTTTCGGAGCCATGAGGTCATGTTGCAGCTGTACAAAACTCTGGTGAGGCCGCACTTGGAGTATTGCGTACAGTTCTGGTCACCGCATTATAGGAAGGATGTGGAAGCATTGGAAAGGGTGCAGAGGAGATTTACCACGATGTTGCCTGGTATGGAGGGAAGGTCTTATGAGGAAAGGCTGAGGGTCTTGGGGCTGGTTTCGTTAGAGAGAAGAAGGTTAAGAGGTGACTTGATAGAGACATACAAGATGATCAGAGGATTAGATAGGGTGGACAGTGGGAGCCTTTTTCCTCAGATGGTGATGGCTAGCACAAGGGGACATAGCTTTAAATTGAGGGGTGATAGATATAGGACAGATGTCAGAGGTAGGTTCTTTACTCAGAGAGTAGTAAGGGCGTGGAATGCCCTGCCTGCAAAAATAGTAGACTCGCCTACTTTAAGGGCATTTAAATGGTCATTGGATAAACATATGGATGATAATGGAATAGTTTAGGTTAGATGGGCTTCAGATTGGTTTCACAGGTCGGCGCAACATCGAGGGCCGAAGGGCCTGTACTGCGCTGTAATGTTCTATGTTCTATGTTCTATGTTCTATGTTCTATGAGTCTGATATCAGTGGCGGTTAAGTGGTTGGAGGGGATGCTGAGAGATAGGATCCACATGCATTTGAAGAGGCAAGGACTGATTAGGGATAGTCGACATGGCTTTGTGCGTAGGAAATCGTGTCTCGCCAACTTGATTGAGTTTTTTTTGAGAATGCGACCAAGAAGATAGATGAGGGCAGAGCAGTAGGCATTGTCCATATGGACTTTAGCAAGGTTCCACCTAGTAGGCTGGTTAGTAAAGTTTGATCATATGGGATTCAGGGAGAGCTTGCCAATTGGATACAAAATTGGTTTGACAGTAGGAGGGTGGTTTTTCAGATTGGATGTCTGTGACCAGCAGTGTTTCACAGGAATTGGTGCTGGGTCCATTTACATAAATGACCTGGATGAGAATGTAGGAGGCATGGTTAGAGAGGGATGATAACCTGAGGGACACCACACTTTAAGCTAGGGGCAAAGTTGAGAAGGCAGGACCTGAGTGGTTACCTCAGCTGGTCCAGGAATCGAACTTGCGCTGTTGGTATCACACTGCACTACAAGCCAGCCTGCCAACCAACTGAGCTAACCAACACCCAGTATTGCACTGGCCACAAACTCTCTGATCTCGCCCAGCGGTACAGCCATTCATCTCTGGGAAGGGCACCACCTCATATTCTCTTCTCACTGCCCCGAGCTCACAATGGAGAGAACTTGCCTGGTTGGCATGGTAGTAGTTAAACCAGCGCTCGATGTGTGTCGCATACCAGCCTGGAAAGAGACAGCGATTCCGGAGAGCTCTGAGCTTTGGCATTGTGTCCGACCTAGCAGTAATAACCTCGTAGAAACTGTACTTCAAGGCTACAGGATCATCGTGAGCTCGCTGATGCTGTGTGAAAAGCAGAAAAACAAATCCTTATTTTCAAATGAGACACAGATCAAAACTCTACTCTGCCCATGTTTAGGTTGTCTACAAAACTGTGCAAAAATATAGTAAGAAGACTGTTTTTAAATTCATTTGTGGAATGTGAGCACTGCTTGCTGGCCAACATTTATTGCCCGTCCGAAGTTTAAATACTAATAAAATGTATTTTCCCCAAGCCTTCGATTTCCTGAAGATTTGTGATTCACACCCAGTGGAGAAACATAGAAACTAGGAGCTGCAGAAGGCCATTCAGCCCTTCGAGCCTGCTCTGCCATGCATTATGATCACGGCTGATTGTTCTAGCCAATAGCCTGTGTCTGCTTTTCCCCCATATCCTTTGATCCCCCCACCATATCCAACTCCTTCTTAAGATCCTATAGTGTTTTGGACAGCTTTCTGCGTCAGTGAATTCCCCCAGGCTCACCATAGTCTTACAGCACAGAAACTGACCCTTCGGTCCAACCAGTCCATGCCAACTATGTTCCCAAACTAAACCAGTCCCACCTGCCTGCACCTGGCCCATATCCCTCCAAACCTTTCCCTTTCATGAACTTATCCAAATGACTTTTAAATGTTGTAACTGTACCTGTGTCCACCACTTCCTCTGGCAGTTCATTTCACACACGAACCACTCTCTGTGTAAAAATGTTACCCTCGTGTCATTTTTAAATCTTTCCCCTCTCACCTTATAAATATGTCCCTAGTCTTGAAATCCCCCACCCTAGGGAAAAGGCACCTGCCATTCACCTTATCTACACCCCTCATGATTTTATAAACCTCTATAAGGTCACCTCTCAATGTCCTACGGTCCAGTGAAATAAGTCCCAGCCTATCTAGCCTCTCGTTCGAAATCACCACTCTCCAAGTGAAGAAATTTCTCCTCATCTCAGTCCTAAATGCTTAGCCTGTTTTCTCACAAGAGTGGTGTCTCTCCCATAGTAAAAGGATTAGGCAGGATCAGTGGACCATTCATTACAGACAGCGTCAGTGATAATTCTGAGTAGGCCATTACCCATCATTGCACTCCAAGTTCATACATTTCACTCCATTCAGAACCTCTACAAGTGTTTCCAATTCCTTCCTTGTCCAGGCAAGCAACATCGATCTTTCTTTCAAGTACAGGAGCAGGGATGTACACTGGTTGCTGAAAGTGAGCATTGCAGGTGTAGAAGACAAATGGTCTTTATAGTGACAGGATTCAAGTCCAGGAGGAGGGATGTCTTGCTGCAAATTGTACAGGGCCTTGGTGAGACCACACCTGGAGTACTGTGTGCAGTTTTGTTCTCCTTATCTCAGGAGTGATGTTCTGGTGATGGAGGCCGTGCAACAAGGGCTCATCAGGCTAATTCCTGGGCTAGCAGGACCAACGTATGAAGAGACTCTGGACTGGATTCAGTGGAGTGAGGGGGGATCTCATGGAAACCTATAACATTCTAAAAGGACTAGACAGGGGTAAACGCAAGAAAGACATTCCTGATGACCAAGGAGTCCAGAATTAGCAGTTACATTCCAGGGACACAGGGTGGACTGTTTAAGTCTGAGATGAGGAGAAATGTCTTCACCCAGAGTGTGGTGAGCTTGTGGAATTCTCTGTCACAAGAAGCGGCTGAGGCCAATACACTGAGTATTTAAAGAAGGGGAGTGAGATATAGTTCTTAGAGCTAAAGGGATCAAAGGGTATGGGGAGGAATTGGGATCAGGGGACTGAGACGGATGATCAGGGCAGACTCGAAGGGCCAAATGACCTGTTCCTGCTCCCATTTTCTATGAATTGCAGCCTGTGTTTTGCGGTGAGCTCGCACTCGCTTTAAATCAGGAAAAATGCAAACTGGCAATCAGCACATCAAAGCAGATTAGAAACCGGGTGAGAAAAACACCTACATGTAAGCTATGCCCCAGGGGACCAGGCAATTGGACCACACTGTTGATCCATGTCAACATCTTACCTGCACACAGTCCAATCTTCTCGGTCTCACTTACTGACCCAGGCCCAATTTCATTTCCACCAATTTCACCTGCCCAACCAAGCAAATCTTGAACATTGGCAGGACTTCACTTTTCGAGTCAGGGCACCAATGCCAAGTTGGGATTGGGGGTGTGGGGGGTGGTGGCGTCACGGCCCTGTATTACTGACGGCCGGAGGAAAACAGTCACTTGGTCAACGGAATGTCCTCCAGCATGAAAGGAGATGGAACCTGCAGTTCAGGTCAGTTCTTTCTGAAGTGCCCTCGCTGCACATTTTGAAACTGTTAAATCAGCAAAATAGACTCAGCAACGGGTGACCATTGTGGGGGACACATGCCATCATAGAGTAGGCAGTGGAAACAGCCTGGCTGAACTGCTGCCCTGTCCACACTCATCACTGCCCTCCCAATCTACTAACATCCAGGCCTTTGGCCTACCCTCCAAGCCTCAGATGTCCTGGAGGACATTTGAAAAATTCTAGTCTGCCTTTGCCTTAATAAGTCATTGATTATCTGTAATTAGCTCCTCGATGTGGCTGGGCAGGTGATCCTTCAATCTCCATGGTTACAATATTATGGCTTTAAGAGGTCTGTTTTGTCCTGCTTTTTTTTTGTGAAGAAAGGTCATGACAGAGGTGATGAGCAGTCTGCTCTAAAGCCAATAAAGTGAACAGGTTGTGCGGTCTTGGGCTTTTCTTTTAAGTTCGAACAACAGAATGGGTGAGGTCAAACCCCCACAGAACTGGGAATTTTAGCTTTAGTTTTTCAGTTGTATTTGCTGGGGTCTTGAAGTTGGGTTTGGAAGCTGAAGTACTTGTCTCTCATGCTACTGTCTCTCTCTCAGAGTTTTCTCTTGATGTTTTTCCTCTTGGATGGGGGAACTGCATGTGAGACAATCTACTTTATTGAATTTGCCTTTGTGTTTATGGGATGTCACTATATCGGAACAGTTACTGTTTAGTGGTTAAATAATCTATTATCCTGTTTAGTATCCCAATAAAGTTAAGTTATTCCAATTCCTTCTTTCTTTACAGATGCTGCCGGACCTGCTGAGTTTTTCCAGCAACTTCTGTTTTTGTTCCTGATCTACAGCATTACTGTCTTTCTTTCTTTTGTTGTATTTTGTCTATAGTGCACGAATAAAGTGTGTTTTACTTCAAGTTTGGTAGTTTAACCAATCAAATTGCATCCAGGATGTAATACCCAGCTCTTGCCTTTAAAATAAGAAAAAGTTAGGGTCTAGGCTACCTTTTTAATATATTTTGAGGGGGTTTTGGACAGGTCCATAACACCAATCACACCCTGGGGGTAGCAAGCTGGCAATATAGAATTCCACTCCCACTTGATTCCGTACTTGCCCATACAGGACCCACAATCCTGCCCGATGTTCCTGCCAAAGTGTGATTTTTCAACCTTCCCCCTCCCACGTGTATCAAATATAAACACAGCCCACTCTCCCTCCACTCCCGCTGTTCTGGACAATTGATTTTCCAGATGAACTCGCCAGCCTAGTCCCAGCTGGAAGAGGTGCCAGCCAGTAGGTACCTGGTACCAGGAGTAAGCCCGGTCGGCGGGATTGATCAGAATGGTGATGATTTTCGCTTTTGGCAACAGGGCCATTGCCCGTTTTGGGGCCACCTCAGAATCGAAGTAATTTGCACTCTTCTCGAAGAAGAAATCCGAGCTTGTGTTGGATGGAACGGGGAAAAAGTCCATGTACCTGCAGGTAGAGGGGAAGAAAGTAGGAACTAATTACAAGATGCAGTGCAACATCTCACTCAGACTCCTTAGACAGCACATTCCAAACTCACAACCAATACCATTCAGATAAGTTTAATCAGGCTATTCACCTCTGGAGGAGATGGGGTTTGAATCTGGGTCTTCTGAGCTTCTCCAATCACTACAATTGTTTCACAAGAACCCCACCATTATCATCTAGAAAGACAATAGATACATAGGAACGCCACTAGTTGCAGGCTTGCCTCCGAGCCACACACCATCCTGATCGTGCGCTCTCTGATCCTCTGTTGTCATGGGTTCGAATCCCACCACAGCAGATGGTGAAATTTGAATTCAATAAAACTCTGCAACTAAAAGCTAGTCTAACAATGACCATGTAAAGACTTTAGTTTAAAAACATATGTGTTTCAATCATGTCCATTAGGGAAGGAACTCTGCTGCCCTTACATGGTCTGGTCTACACTTGACTCTTGGAAGCTCCTGGATGGCGCTGCTGCTTTATGATGCCAGGGTCCTGGCTTTGAGTCCATCCTCGAGCGACTGTGTGGAGTTTGCACATTTTCTCCCTGTGGGTTTCCTCCGGGTACTCCGGTTTCCTCCCACAGCCCAAAAATGTGCAGGTTAGGTGGATTGTCCATGCTAAATTGCCCATAGTGTCCAGGGATGTGCAGGATAGGTGGATTGGCTGTGGGAGGTGTGGGGTAGGGTCGTGGGTCTGGGTGCGATGCTTTTCGGAGGGTCAGTGTGGATTCAATGGGCCAAATGGCCTGGTTCCACACTGTAGGGATTCTATGACTCTAGGCCCACAGCAATGTGGTTGACTCTTAAATGGTTAGGCAAGGCATTCAGCTCAAGAGCAACTAATGCCTCCTTTCTAGTAACACCCACATCCCATACAAGAATAAAATTGAAAGAACATATCTTGACAGTTCTTAGTCAAAAGCAGTTGGATATAAAGCCCAGAAACCACTGCAAAGGCAAAGGAAGGAATTGACCATTTGGTCAACCTTGCTCTGCCATTGATGGCCATTGATTTATGTTTGTGTCCCTTTCAAACTTTTGTGAATCCATGAGTCTTTCTTTTAAACGGTTCTGTAAGAGTAACCTTCTCGATCTGCATTTCCGGCAGGATGACACTCATTGCCATGAAGAAAGGTTTATGGTATTTTCTTTCCCTGTCTGGGCTTTAATTCAAAGGAAACATTCCAAAACATCCACCTAGTTCCTTCCAACTGTTTCAGTTGAAGGTTATTGGCAAGAACCAAGCTCCATGTGCTGTGTCAATGTAACTGATACTGTTAATGATGGGGTAAGGTACGTTCTTGTACTGGGTGTCCATGAGTGTGCAGTGTAGGTTGTCCTGTTCAATGCAAGCTTGTATGATCTTGTCGAGATTCAAACCAAACAGCTCCATGACGTGAAAGTCTATGCTCTGCAGTCTGTTCCCAGGGATACAGATTGAGACAAACATCTACTGCACCTGGAGGACCATCAACTCGGTGAAAGACACTCTTTGGTCTGCCCGGACCTTGTTGGTCTTCCGGAACAATGAGTTGACCCCGACCGAGGGTTGCAGACTGGCACATTCCAAGGTCCAGGACTACGTGCTGTGGGACATGCTAAAGCTCAGTGCAGCTACTGCCAAGGTGCAGTGGGGAAAGACCCCTGTCTGAGGTCCCCCTGCTGAAGGTAAATGGGGGTCCGTTCAGTTATCAGACTCTCCCAGTGCCTCAAATATATGTGAATATTAGTATTGTACGTGTAAGAGAAGTCATTTGTGTTTTGGATAAAGTCAAAGCCCAATATTTTATTGATTTACTTGATATGTAACTGTACAATGTGATAATGTACATACACAAAGATTTTTTTTATGAATAAAGTACATTTTTAAAATAAAAACAAGCGTGAATGAAAAAATGCCTTTGTTTTTTAACTGCATGGAAGTTCTGAGGAATTTCAAATTCTGTTGTGTTGTGTTGTTTTGTTTTCTCTGCAAAGTCTGTACAAAACTGTTTTTGGACTTTTGTAAGGGCTTACAGATAGGTTATGAATAAAGAATGAATAAATAATGTATGGATGAAAAATAACCAAAAAATATCCCATTTCCTGTTAAGGCATCTTACGGCTTCTCATAGAATCCCTACGGTGTAGAAGCAGGCCATTTGGCCCATTGAGTCCATACCAACCCAATGTAGAGCATCCCAACATATCCCTGTAACCCTGCATTTTCCTCAGGGCCAATCAACCTGGACCATGAGAGGAAACCGGAGCACCCAAAGGAAACCCACGCAGACATGAGGAGAATGTGGAAACTCCACATAGTCAGTCATCTGCAGCTGGAATCAAACCCAGGTCCCTAGTGCTGTGAGAGAAGCAGTGCTAACCACTGAGCCACCAGGCCACCCCAGGACTGCTAGACCTCAACATTCTGAGCCTGACTGAATGCGATTTCATTCCCCTTCTCCCTTCCCTCGCACCAGCCTTGTCTTGCTTGTGCCCAAGTAGTTTTTCTCTCAACACAGTGGGCTGATTTTCTCCTTATCACACCTAACACTTGCACCTATTTTACATCTCCCAGACCACCATCAGCACTCCTTTTGTCTTTTGATCTGGGTACCACCTGCTCCACACACTCCTCCTCCCCCGCAGGCAGCAGCATAAAAACCATCATTCCACAACTTCATCCTGAAGAAGAGATCAGATTCAAAACATTAACCCTATTTCTCTCTCTTTACAGAGGCCATCAGATCTGCATTTTCTCTTCTTATTTCAGATTTCCAACATCCACAGTATTGGGGTTTTATTAGGCTGTGTACCCAGTTGTTTTGATCGCTCCCTTACCAGTCAATGCCCTTATGATAGTTCGGTCCATTAAAGAACTGCAACTCCTCAAAGCTGTCAGGGTTTGGAGAATTGCTGGTGACATCCGGGTGCATAGTGAGGAATAGATAGAGAGCTGTGGTACCTGGGGAGAGAGCGTCAGCTGTTACTGACATAATATTATGGTGCAGATTTTCTGCAAACATAATTTTGCAAATGGCATTTCTAATTCAAAGCAGGATTCCTATGTCCAATTGCTGCTTCTGATCCAAGCAAATTATTCAGTTGTGTAAACTGATGACCACCCACATCTCATTTTCATCAAACTGGGTGTTGCAAGCTTGCTGTCTACCTCTGCCTAAACACCAAGAGTTCACAGCTGAAACTTGAACCCTTCTGCTCCCTCCCTGATCTCCGAAGTGTTTGCTGCATTCATTTCTCCTTCAAATTTCAGCATCTGCATTCTTTGCTTTTTGCTTATGTCCAGACATAACCGGGATGAGAGGGGTCTTTACTTTCTGTATTTTTGGTTATGGACTAAGAATGGAAGAAAGACTGTTTTAAAACTAAGGATTGTGGAAGGTGTTGCTGCACATGTAAAAATAAATTACTGAAACTCATTGTGTTCGGTATTTACAGTTCTGCATTTTTCCAGCAGTGGGGGAAGATTTTGTCAATGGCATGGCACCAGAATATGTTCACAGTGAAATTTCGCTGGCCACAAGTAACTGATTGGTTTATGCACTTATGTCTAATTACAAATGCTAAACATCATCGGCCTGGTGGCAACTCTCTGATTGGTCCCTGGGCAGCTAAACAGCTTGTGGGTGTGAATAATACAGGGAGTTACCTTTGGACTGCAGGTTGCATGTGTGTCTCTCTGCATAAAAGCCTTCCAATTGGTATAAGTCTAAGTTACTGAAACCAAATGAAGAAGGTCACAATTGCTCTGCCCAGGACTGTAAGAAACAACAGAGAGCTGTGAACACAGCTCAGTCCATCACACAAGCCAACCTTCCATCCATTGACTCAACCTACACTTCCTGCTGACTCAACATCATTAAAGACCCCTCTCATCCCGGTTATAATCTCTTCCAACCTCCTCCATTAAGTAGTAGATACAAAAGCTTAAACACACATACCAACATATTCAAGAACAGCTCCTTCCCCACTGCTATTAGACTTCTGAACGGACCTCTCAAATTTTAGATTTAATGTTGGTCTCGCACCTTGTGCACCTTCTTTGCAGCTTTAACACTGTATTCTCCGCTCTGTTCTATTATCCTAATGCACTTTCTGATTTCCAATGCATTCAAATTAAATGATTAAAACATGTCTCACAAGGACTTGGGGCGGCACAGTGGTTATCGCTGCTGCCTCACAGCACCAGGAGCCCGGGTTCAATCCCAGCCTTGGGTGACTGTCTGTGTGCACTTTGCATGTTCTCCCTGTTTCTACATGAGTTTCCTCTCACAGTCCAAAGATGTATAGGTTAGGTGGATTAGCCGTGGGAAATGCAGGGTTGCAGGGACTGGGTCTTTAAAGGGTTGTTGTGGACTCAATGGGCCTAATGGCCTGCTTCTACTCTGTAGGAATTCTATGATTTGTAATGGTGGTGCAGTCATTAGCACTGCTGCCTCACAGCACCAGGGATCTGAGTTCAATTCCAACGTCTGTGTAGAGGTCACACATTCTTCCTGTACCTGCGTAGGTTTGTGCTGGGTGCTCTGGTTTCCTCCCACAGTCCAAAGATGTACAGGTTGGGTGGATTGGCCATGGGAAATTGCCCATAGTGTCCAGGGGTGTGTAGATTAGGTGTGTTAGCCATGGGGAATGGGGGGCTACAAGGCAAGGGTAGTGGGGTGGGATGCTCTTCGGAAGGTCAATGTAGACTTGTTGGGCTGATTGGCTTGTCCCTACACCGTAGGGATTGTATGATTCTTCTATGTTAATTCCAGTGAGGGCAAAATATACAATTTTAAAGGAGTTCACTTATTGATTTATATGGATACTGGAATATTTGGTTAAATGCTTATTGGCATGTTCAATTGCTACAACTGGGTGGTTTTAAATTAACACAACATACTAACACCATGAAGGCACCATGACTGTAGTTTTTCACATCTGTGAAGACTGGAATTCCACAGGCCAACTGGGAAAGGGAGGAGGACATATTCCCAGGGAGCTGATGTCTAGATTTGACGTTTGTTAATTACACGCACAGATTCTGGTTGGGAAATCCAGCTGCTGGTGCCTGTCCCTATGGCCCAGTTGTGTATTGCTTCAGTTAGTTGGGCCAAGTTAGGGAAACACTCCCAATTATGGCAAGATGACAACTTTTCAAACTAAAGATCAAGCTTCCCTAAAGACCTAAAGTTCCACATGTAGCAGTTTGATTCCCAGGCCACACTGAGTTCAGCAGGGTGTAATCATGGGGCTTCATGTGTTGTCGTATCGAAAATTTTTCTTTTGCCATATCTAAAATTCCGGCTTCAATTCGATATCTGGCGATCACTGCTGGAAAGCCTGCATGTGTGGTTCTTGCATTTTTCTATTCACTTGTGGGACATGTGGGTCTCTGGCCGGGCCAGCATTTATTGCCCATTTCTAGTTGCCCTTGTGAAGGTGATGGTGAGCTACTTTCTTGAACCACTGCTGGCCCTGTGCTCTAGGTTGACCCACAATGCATTTAGGGAGGAATTTCCAGGATTTTGACCTAGCAACTGTGAAGGAATGGCGATATATTTCCAAGTCAAGATGTTAAGCAGCTTGGAGGGGAACTTGTTGGTGGTAGCGTGGTTCACTCTGCTGTGCATGTGAGACCAGCTCAGTCTGTGTGACAACAGCAGTGTTATGTAATGCCTGAACAAAGGCAAAATGCTGCAGATTCTGGAAATCTGAAATAAAAACAGAGAATACTGGAGAATCTCAGCAGGTCCGGCAGCATCGGTGGGGAGAGAAAGAGAGTTAACGTTTCAAGTCCAGTAGGATTCTCTTTTAGAATTGAAAGCAGTTGGACAATTGTGGTTTCAGGCTCTTGACGGGGAGGAGGAGCGAGTGGAACAGATTGCGAGAATATTCAGACCGTAACGATCACAGCTTTTGTCTTTTGCTTCGGGCGCTCTCACAATCTGTTCCATTCACTCCTCCTCCCATTTCTGTCATTAGCGTAAAAGGCACCATTTTCCAGATCCTTTCAGTTCTGAAAAAGAGTCATGTCAGACTCAAAATGTTAACTCTCTTTCTCTCCCCACAGATGTTGCCAGAGCCACGGAATTTCTCCAGCACTTTCTGGTTTTATTTTGTTACTTAACACACCTCATGTAAACCAGTTAGGTAAATACAAGAACAGTATTGCCGCATAGTATCATATATACAATGACAATAACGGAAACAGGCCAGTTGAGTTACAAGAATATATTCTACATAAGCAGCAGCATGGATCAGGGACTGCCCTGTTCAATACACTCTTTAGATATTTTTAGAGATGTTGTGACACTTCTGGAGCAGGTGGGATTTCTACTCATGCTTCCTTGCTCAGAGGTAGGGACATTCCCACCCGTACTCTCTTTATTCTTTTGCAAACCTACCTGAATCTGTTCAGATGCAGTTTCTACTGTAATCAGTGAACTGTAACCTTGTCAATATTTTGAAAATTATTTTGCATTTCAGCACTTGGTCCCAAGTAATTTTTACATCCCTTTGGCATCCTGTTATGGTATTGGTAAATATGAACGATCAAATTTAAACTTCCAGCGTCTGATTGTTATACAGGAGACTTATCACAGATTAAAATGGTTTTTGAACAAGAGGAAGCATATATCTAAAATGGCTGCAGTTGTCACCCAATCACAGATTGTGTCAAGTTTCATGAAACTTATGCAGAATTAATGAAGCTGCCTGCACTGATAATCCCTTTTTATCCAAAGACATCAAAACTAGGCAACTGAATCAGCATCAAGAAATTCTTATCTCCTGTTTAATACCCACATTTTTTTTTAATTTCACATGTTGGGAGCAGAAAGGCCCACCTACCAGCTTGGAAAGACAATCAGGCTGGGCTCAGGAACACACAATGAACTATATTTCAACACCTGCACTGTGCAGCAGAGACAAGCAACATGGCTTTGCAGCTGCAAATCCTGCAAAGCTACTTCTCCCTACATGTTCCTTGTCATTGTGGAAAACAGCTCCCAGTGAAAAAACAAATTGGGAAAACATCAAAAATATCAACAGGTTTGTTCTGTTATTGAGTCAACAATTAACTGACTGAGGCCTTAGGTTTAAAATTTAACACCACAAAGATTCTAAAGATTTTGGAACTTTGTGGCCTTCTTTTTCCCTGTTCACGCTCTCTCTCTGGAACTTATTATCGACCACTGTCTGTGTTTCCGATGATGCATTTTTATTATTTTCTGCTCAGGTTTGGTAGGTAACAATATTCTACACGGAAACCTCAGTAATTGACTCTTTCACTTTGCAGCAAGCTAAATTTTACTTGAAGTCTGATAACTGTGTGCTAAAAAGAAATAAAAATATTTGCTGTGATTGACAAAGTAAGGGTTTGAAGGATACACCAATCATAAAACATTTGCTTTTCCTAATTTTCTTAAACAATTCTTATTTTGGGCTCCTTTCAGTTCCTTCATTTGTTTAATACACCCACTTTAATTCTCCAGTTTGAGGCGAGATATCACAGTTGGCTAACAAACTGGATGTGGCAATGACAGAGTTGTAGTCAGTTGATTCTAGAAGCATTTGGGCAACATCTTCCAACAAATATTGAGAATGCGTTTGGATTTTATCCAGCGATCTCATATTCACAACACAAAACAATTTCAACCGAAAAGAAACAGTTTGAATACACAATCAACAACAGAGTACAATTGAAACATTTTTCACGAACATTTGTACTCAAACTAATGGTCTGGATATATTTTTAGTTTTGAAATAAACTCTTGCATTTGTATAACACCTTCACAATCAATGGACATCTCAGCGTTCCATGTCCAATGAAGTACGTTTCGAAGTCTAATTACTGCTGCAATGTAGGAAATGCAGCAGCCAGCTTGGACACAGCAAGATCCCACAATGATCAGTTCGTCTGCTTCTTTTCATAACGTTATTCAAGGGATAAATATTGACCAGGTCACCAGGGAGGACTTTTCTGCTCTTCTCCCAAATAAATGGAACGTTTAGATCCAGCCAAATAGGCAGATGGCGTCTTCATTCAATCTGAGAGATGGCAACTCTACCAGTGCAGCACTCCCTCAGTGAAGCATCAGCCTGGAGTTTTGTGCTTAAATCCCTGATTGGACTTGAATCAAGAATCTTGTAACTCAGAGGCCAGTGTGTGATGAATGGAGCCAGGGCTGACACCCAGATGCTGAGCAGTCAGTGGTCCAGCTGGGAGCTTCCATATTACTCAGTGAATATTCCCGTATTCTGGCCCCGACATTATCTTTTAGTCCCAGCTCAAACACCAGGCCACTCCTCCCTGCCCCAGCTGTCTGGGAGACCCCTCTGAAGAAATGCAGGGGATGACAGTTTGAGCCAAATGAAGAAGAGTTCTTCTTAGTTGATTCAAACCCATGAGAAATCAGATTGAGATGGCACGATGCCATGTCTTCATAGGCAGCGGAGAGAGAACATTGGTCTGGGCCGTCCCAGAAGTGAAAAGTCTGGCACCATTTTCTTTTCAATAAACCACAGAATCATGGAATTATTTCAGTGCCATTCAGCCCATCATTCCCGCACCCCTCATTAAACAAGCATCATTATCTAGTTCCAATCTCCTGCCTTTTCCCCATATCCCAGCATGCTATTTCTGTTGAAATAATCTAAATAATGCCTCAACTGAACCTGCCTCCACCACATTTTCAGGAAGTTCATTTCAGACCTTAACTACTCACTGACTGAAAGAGATTTCCTCACCTCACACCCGCTCCTTTTAATCGCTGCCCTCTCGTTCTTGCTCCTTTCCAGACCACGAACTGATTCTACCCATCCACTGTATTCAATCCACAAATGATTTTGAAAACTTCTATCAGATGTCCACTGGGCATTTTTCTCTTCAGGGAAAACTATCCCAACTTCTTCAATCTGTCCTCAGAACTGAAGTTCCTTACCCCGGAAACATTCTTGTAAGTCAGGCCATCGGATGAATATAGAGCTTAGAACATAGAACACAGAACATGGAACAGTACAACACAGCACAGGCCCTTCGGCTCATGATGTTGTGCCGAACTTTTACCCTAATCCTGAGGTCTAGCTAACCTCCACCCCTACCTTATACTATCATTCATATGCCTATCTAATAGCTGCTTAAATGTCCCTAATGAGGTCAACTCCACTACCCTCTCCGGCAATGCATTCCATGTCCCAACTACTCTCTGAGTAAAGAACCTATCTCTAACATCTCTCCTATATCTACCTCCATTCACTTTAAAACTATGCCCCCCTTGTAATAGCTACCTCCACCCGAGGAAAAAGTCTCTGGCTGTCCGCTCTATCTATACCTCTGATCATTTTGTACACCTCTATCAAGTCACCTCTCATCCTTCGTCGTTCTAAAGAGAAAAGCCCTAGCTCTCTCAACCTTTCCTCGTAAGACCTTCCCTCCATTCCAGGCAACATCCTGGCAAATCTCCTCTGCACCTTTTCCAAAACTTCCGCATCTTTCCTGTGATGAGGCGGCCAGAACTGGACGCAATACTCCAGATGTGGCCGAACCAGGCTGGAGCATAACTTCACAGCTCTTGCACTCCCTCTATTAATGAAAGCTAACACACCATATGCCTTCTTAACAACTCTATCTACCGGATGCTTATTTTAATAAAAATAGTTTGCAAGGTATGGGGGAAAAGGCAGAAGATTGGCACCAGGTAGTGATGCTGATTTGAAGAGCCAATGCCGGCACGACAGGCAAAATGGCATCTTTCTGTGCTGCAACAATTCTGTGATTCTGAGGAGATAGCAGGGATATTGCAAGGAATTCCAATGTAATTGACATTGCTGTGGAATTAGTAGAATCATAGGATCCCCTGGAGTGTGGAAGCAGGCCATTTGGCCCATCAAGTCCACACCGGCCCTCTGAAGAGTATCCCACCCAGACCCACCCTATCTCTGTCATCCTGCAATTCTCATGGCTAATCCACTTAACCTGCACATTTTGGACTGTGGGAGGAAACTGGAGCACCCAGAGGAAACCCACGCAGGCACAGGTTCATGTGTGGAATGAACTTCCTGAGGAAGTGGAGGATGTGGCTACGGTTACAACGTTTAAAAGACATTTAGATAAGTAAATGAATAAGAAATGTTTGGAGGGATTTGGGCCAAGCACAGTGAGGTGGGACGAGTTTAGTTTGGGATTATGGTTGAAATGGACTGGTTGGACTGAAGGGTCTGTTTCCATGCTGTATAACTATGACTCTATGTGGTAGCTAGTAATTTCACCAATTACATCAAAGTGACTTACAGCATCAGTCATGTAACAAACTAGTGTTTGATCTCGTTTAAAACACAATGTTAGGTTGGTTATTTTTAAATTGCAAAAACCCGAAAATGAAAAGGGGGCTACAAATAAGTTTATATGAATTCTTCGTTCATGGATCCCACTGAGGACCACAATGCAGTTATGATATTGGGAAGGGAGTGTGGGAATATAAGAGCTCTGTCTGAGCATTGGCATTCAGTGTCAAGTGGTGCAATATTATAGAATCCCTACAGTGTGGAAACAGGCCCTTCGTCCCAACAAGTCCACACCGAAACTCAGAGCATCCCATCCAGACACATCCCCCTATAAACCACCTAATTTACACATCCCTGAACACTACAAGCAATTTATCATGGCCAGTCCACCTAGCCTGCACATCTTTGGACGGTGGGAGGAAACCAGAGCACCTGGAGGAAACCCACGCAGACACGGGGAGAATGTGCAAACTCCACACAGACAGTTGCCCGAGGCTGGCATCAAACCCGGGTCCCTGGCGCTGTGAGGCAGCAGTGCTAACCACTGTGCCACTATGCCACCCTAATATACCTTTTAGTAACCAGTCCAGTCCTTATCTTTTATCAATTGTGGATGTGTGGTGCAAGGGGAATTGTAATAATCAATTAGCATACCTCCCATGCAATATAAATTACTGTTCCCTTTGAAATCTGGCATTCTTGCAATTGTGTCCTGATAAGCGCAGGACAAAATACTTCAACAACAGCTCTCTACTTTTAGCAACATTGTAATACTCCATAATATAAGAATGAAAGAGAAAAGGTAAAATATAAAGAAACCTTGGGCCTTGGGGTTTATACCCTTACCTGACTTTTGAGGTCCAATGATGAGAAGTTTCGGAAGTCTATCACATGTTTTTTCTTTTGACCAGATATCCTTGTGCCTCCTATCTTCGCAAGGATCCTGAAAAGAAGCAGACAGGACATTTTTCAAATAATCTTTTCGCTACACAGCAGTCTAGACCCACCCCCTAGAAAATCTAGAAGTAAAGATGTTTGGAAATCCACAGCCAGCTCCACTGTTGCTGCTCAGAAAATTCAAGCGGACCGTGTTCCCACCTACACATCAGCAAAAGGTGTGGGAGGATGGCCACAGTTGGAGAGAGGGAAATGGGAATTCCGAGTTTGGAAAGAGAAGAGAGCGAATGCAGCTTCCAGGGTCAGAGGGCAGGAGAACAGAAGCATAGTGAGCTGCAGTAATTATTACCTCCACTGACGTTTCCTGCTTTTATTCAATGAATAACAATTCAAGTTACATGTGAATGTAAGCAACGTTATTTGCCAGTGGCGCTCACAAATGAGTGCACAGAAACCCATACAGAGTGAAGAGCAACGCGCAGTGATGGAACAGAAGTAAATCTGCAGCTCCTTTTCCCTGGGTTTCGCTCGGTGAGCTGAAACCTGAACCACAACCTTCCAGCATTGCATTCCTGTCCCTGGTGGTGGGCACTCACGAGGAATTCCATCATTGCAAAATCAACTGGGTACACAAACATCATTATCTCACAAAACTGCACCTTTGCACGCGTAGCAGGAATGTTTGCGAATCCTCCCTTTTCACTGGATTTTAGAAGAATTGGGGGCAGGGGGTGGAATCTCATAGCAACATCTCATAACAGGATCGGTCAGTGCAAAGACAGGAAGGATGTTCCTGATGACCGGGGAGTCCAGAACCAGGGATCACTGTCTCAGGATATGGGGAGTGCCCCTTAGGACTGAGATGAGGAGAAATGTCTTCACCTAGAGTGTGGGTGACGCGGTGCCATAGAAAGCAGCTGAGGCCAAAATATTGAATGTTTTCAAGAAGGAGTTAGATATAGTTCTCAGGGCTGAAGGGAACAAAGGGTATAGGGAGAAAACAGGAACAGGATACTGACAGATAGTAAGAACTACAGATGCTGGAGTCAGAGATAACATAGTGCGGAGCTGGAGGAACACAGCAGGCCAGGCAGCATCAGAGGAGCAGGAAAGCCAACGTTTCGGGTCTGGACCCT